TATGTTAGGATGGAACACTCCGGCTTTGTATCGATTACAGAGAACTTAACAAAGTCACAATCAAGAATAAGTATCCATTGCCAAGAATCGATGACTTATTTGATCAGCTTCAAGGGGCACAAGTCTTTTCCAAGATTGACCTACGGTCTGGGTACCATCAATTAAAAGTCAAGCCTGATGATGTTGAGAAAACAGCTTTTCGAACCCGGTACATTTCCCCCGTCTGTCTCTGTAACTGTTTTGTTAACTGTATAGACTATATAAACTGTTTACTGCACTGGTTATCAGGGATTAGGTCCCTGCTCTGAATGATTATAAGTGTTGTACATACTGTTCTGCACTGTGTATATATATATATATGAAAAGTCTTTTGGCATACAGACTGTCACGGCTCATTGGACATTGTTTATTTATTGTTTTGGCTTCTGCCATGCCCCTGTACTCTGTTTTACTGTATTACTGTTAAGCAGGCCTTCGATAATCTCGGATTACTGGCCGGTTATGGTGCTAAACCCATAGGGGCAGGTTTGGGCTGTGACACATGGGTATTGGGAATAGAGAAGTTATTTGAAGTTTTCCCTTGTACCGAAGCTCAAAAGGTACAACTGGCTGCCTTCACTCTTGAGGATGAGGCACGGAGATGGTGGATGCTTACAAGGACTATACATCAAGGATTGACACGGGACAGATTCTTGGAATTGTTTTATGATAAGTATTTCCCTCAGAGTATGCGAGATAAGAAGGTGACTGAATTCGAAACTCTCAGACAAGGAAACAAGACCGTTGCTGAATATGAAGCCCAGTTTGCAGAGTTGGCCCGGTTCGCACCTCATATGGTGGACTGGGACTATAAGAAGACACAAAAATTTGAGGGAGGACTATGAGGTGCTATTCTGGACCGAGTTAATATGTTGAAGTTACCTACCTATGTAGATGTGTTGGAGAGGGCCGTCATAACGGAAGGGAACATTGCTGCCCAAAACCGTATTTCTGAATGGAAAGGGAAAAGACAAAACAGTCAATGGTTTAAGGGGTCAACTACTCCACCAAACAAGAAACAAAACTCAGGGACTGCAACGGCTTCTACCCCTAGTCAGGGTTCAATCCTCGTATGTTCGGAGTGTGGAAAGAGGCATCGTGGAACATGCTATCGGGGGTCTAGAGCCTGTTTCCATTGTGGAAAAATGGGCCACGTGATAAGGGATTGTCCTCAAAGGAAACAACAACAAAATGGCAACAGGGCTGCTACCAGTTCAGCGAGGTTTACACCAACTACCAACAACAAGGTACCGGTCAAACCGACAAACAATAAGGACACCGCGAGACAAAGCAGAGTGTTCACATTAGTTCCGGGAGATGTGCAAAATGCGGCAACGGTAGTGTCATGTACATTTATGGTTCACGGTCATTCTGCTTGTGTATTGTTTCATTCTGGCTCTACCCATTCTTTTGTGTCAAAACTATTTGCTCCTAATTTAGATAAACTTGAAGAAGTCTTATCTTATATGTTATATGTGTCCTCACCTTTGGGGGATTCCATGATTTGTACTTCCATATATACTGCTTGTGAACTTCACCTTGGGGATATTCAGGTATACGTTAACCTGTTACCTCTCGACATGACGTATTTCGATATTGTTCTGGGAATGGATTGGTTGGGTGAATATGGTGCAACTATAGATTGTCTGACTAAGCAAATTAGTTTCCACCCTTCGGGTCAATCAGGGTCTATGTTTCAGGGACAAGAAGTGACTTCTCTACCTTATTTGATCTCGGCAGTGAAGGCTTGTAAATTAATTCAGAAAGGGTGCCAAGCGTATTTATGTAGTGTTTTGGAGGGGTAAGTGATGAATGGGGGTACCGACATACTTCCAATTATTTGTGAATTTCCGGATGTCTTTCCGGAAGAACTACCAGGACAGTTAATGGACCGTGAAATTGAATTTACAATTGAAGTAGCACCGAGGACTCAACCCATTTCTAAGACTCCGTATAGAATGTCCCCAGTCAAGATAAAGGAACTAAAAATTCAATTGCAAGATTTGCTGAATAAGGGATTCATCCGTCCGAGTGTGTCTCCGTGGCGCGCACCAGTTCTGTTTGTGAAAAAGAATGATGGAACACTCCGGCTTTGTATCGATTACAGGGAACTTAATAAGGTCACAATCAAGAACAAGTACCCATTGCCAAGGATCGATGACTTATTTGACCAACTTCAAGGAGCACAAGTCTTTTCTAAAATCGATCTACGATCTGGATGCCATCAATTAAAACTCAAGGCTGATGATGTTGAGAAAACAACTTTTCGAACCCGGTACGGTCATTATGAGTTTCTGGTTATGCCCTTTGGAGTTACGAATGCCCCAACAGCTTTTATGGATTTGATGAACCGCGTCTTTAAGCCTTTTTTGGATGAATTTGTGGTGGTTTTTATTGATGATATCCTCATTTATTCAAAGACTGCGGAAGCTTACGAGAATCATCTTCGCTTGATCCTTCAAACCCTCCGGGAAAAGAAACTGTATGCAAAGCTGAAGAAATGTGAATTCTGGCTACTAGAGGTGGCATTTCTAGGGCATGTGATCACAAAGGAAGGAGTTTCTGTTGATCCACATAAGATTGAGGCGATTGTGAATTGGCCAACTCCCACTAATGTGACTGAAGTGCGTAGTTTTATGGGGTTAGCTGGATATTACAAAAGATTTGTGCAAGATTTTTCTAAAATCGCTGTGCCGCTTACACAACTGACTCGAAAGGGAGTTGCATTTGAATGGTCAGAAGAGCGGGAATCTGCTTTCCAGGAATTGAAGACAAAGTTGACTACAGCAACAGTGCTGGCCTTACCATCCGGTACTGAAGGATTTGTAATCTACAGTGATGCTTCGTACCAAGGGCTTGGTTGTGTACTTATGCAAAATGGAAGAGTTATTGCTTATGTCTCTCGGCAGCTGAAACCCCATGAGAAGAATTACCCCACGCATGACCTCGAGCTAGCAGCAGTAGTCTTCGCTTTGAAAATATGGAGACACTATTTGTATGTGTAACAACCCCCATACTGTTTACCGATTAATGACTGATTGATTACCGATAACCATCGATTACCGTTAAACTGAATTGATTATGACTGATAATTGGACTGATTAAAGTACTGAACTGACTGACTGGAATCTGGAATTAAGTGACTGGTCTATCTGTTGAATTGTGCATCTATCTGTTTGATTGATTATTTGATCTGTTCGTGTTTTACGTTTAAACTGCTAATTGAAGGCTTTGTCGCGGCCGAACGGAATTGATTGATGTTTTAGGATCCTCATAATTAATGTGTTTTTTTGGTATAATTATCTGAAACTGATTAGGTATGATTAAATTAGATTAATGGTGCTAAATTACATGAACTGGACTTATTACCAAATTGCCATCCTTAGTGGCCCACTCAATATAACACATTGGAGCCCTTGCATGCTTGAATCAAAACATTTCATTAGTTCTCCTTGTTCAACGGCCTTAGAGAGAGAGGAAGGGAGAGAGTTGAATTGTTCTAGTGAATTGGCTTGAATTGCTTGGAATTGAAGTGCAAATTGTCAAATTGGACACCTAAACCTTGAACACAAAGACTAAGGTAGGACATTCATCTTCTTGTTGTTGTCATAGACTTGATTCTTGCATGATCCATGCTTCATTTGTAGAGTTAAGCCATGTTTTAGTTCATACATGTAGGATTAGAACATAATTCATGCATGCATGTTTGAATTGATGAGTTTTGAGTTGAATCCATGGTGAAATGGAACATGCATGTTCATAATTTTGTAATGGTCCATGTTTTCAACTTGTTTTGGATCAATTGGCTCCTTAGAGCATCAAATTGGAACTTCAAATGATTGAATTCAATCATGTTTGCGTGTTCATATTGTCATGAAATTGGTTTGAAATTGAGGTTGAATTAAACCCCTTGGGCTTTGATTTCTCAAATTGAGTTTTGAACTATGATATTCTATATGTTTACAACTGTTTTCTGGAAATTCAGCCAAGAGGATCGGTTTTGATGCTTTGAACTTGGTTTTTGGCTTGGAGGTGCAATCTGGAATTCCCAGATTTTGCACTTCCGCTCGAGCGGGGTAATTGGCGCTCGAGCGTAGAATCCGAGCATCCAGTATCTCTACACTGTTTTTTCAGTCCGCATTGAGCGGAGGATGGGCGCGCTCGAGCGGAGTTCATGTGTCTCAAGCTTGAACGGGCGTCGAGGGAGATTTCACCATCCATACTTTTACATTACGCTCGAGCAGGAAAGTTTACGCTCGAGCGTGTACCTTTGTTGCATGACGCTCGAGCGGGGAAACCTGCGCTCGAGCGGGACTCTGTTTTCTGTTAAAGTCTAAACTGTTTTCTGATCACATCTTTGCATCCTCATCCCATTCTAGGCATTCTTAGACCTAGTTTAAGACATCTTGTTGAGGATAGATGTAGACACACACAGAGGCATTAGGGGTTAAATTATGTTATTTCCCAACTGTGTAGCTTAGTGTGTGTGTTCAATCTGTTAACTGTGTAGGGTTGGCGACTGGGGAGACCGCTCTAGCATACTGTAGCCCAAACTCTGTGAGTAACAACTGTGTAAAGAATGTTCAAAAATGATTATCTTCTGAACAATGAACTGTACTGCTTTCTGAACTGTTACTGTTAATTGAATGAATGAATGTCCTCTTATCTGAACTGTATTGTGGCATCCTTAGCAACTACTTTACTGACTGTTACTTTACAGAGATCTCTGTCGGTTCCCTCGTGACCACTACTGTTCACTGATTGATGGCCATCATTACTGTTCGGTCTTTAAGACCTACTGTTTACTGCTATGCTAATGGATGTACCACATATGATTGAATAACTGTTCTACTGAAAGACTAAGTATTGTTAATGAACTGATTTCATTACTGTAAGGACATTTCATTCTTAACCTCCTTTAACATTATGTTATTCACAGGGCTTTAGCTCACTGTTTATATATATATGTAGGGCTCAGCCACCAGATCGGAGTAGGAGCGCGGGTTAGACTCCAGTTTTGTCAAGCCAGCCTTTTGGCCTCGCTGGAGGTTCCGAGTTGCCATGCTATGGCTTTGGGTGTCTTGTTTTCCCGTCTGTCTCCGTACTGTTTGGTTTACTGTATAGATTGTCAGCTACTAACTGTATCTTATCAAGGGATTTGGTCCCTGTACTGTGTGGCTGTAAATTTTGTATAGACTGTACTGTTTGTATATGTGAATGCATGAAAAATCTTTTTGGCATACAGACTGTCACAGCTCAATGGATCTCTCTCTTT